TCTTTGTTAGAACTGGGGATACACAGTTAGATCAAGCATAATAAAGGAACTTCAAAGAGATACAGGTCCAATGAATAACTTTCCCGCTGGCGGGCTAATGGAACGGTTGCGCGCCCAGTCCATGGGAACCAGGCAGGATATTAGACATAACACAGGTGCAGTAGTCATGGGAAAAGCAATAGCCAAGCATTACAGCATCTTCTCCCCCACACAACCTCCAGCAGTTATCTTTTGCATTCCAACGCAGGAGTAGGATGATAGAAACCAAGCCGGGTGCAACAGGGAAAGAATATGTACACAGAGGTCACAGAAAACAGAATGGCAGCTTGCTGACATACTGCCCCCCTTAAAATACACTTACAACACACCTCCCGGGCCGGGCGGGAGATCTCCCGGGCTGGGCGGGAGACCTCCCGGTTTGTCCGGGAACCTTCTGTGGAAACTACGGATCAGGTAAGGGGCCCGAATATCCCCTTCTTCCACCCATTCGCGGTGCTGGGGACCGAAATCAACCCATTCGATAAGGTACCAGAGTTTACCACGTTTCACTTTACAATCCAGGATATCAGCGATCTCAAAATGTTCATCCCCTTCCAAAATGACAGGTGGAGGAGGAGTAGTTACAGGTCTCCATGGAGACGGGCCAGGATCCTTCTTTAACAGGCTCATGTGAAATACAGAATGCAAGGCACGTAAATTCTTAGGCAAAACAACATCAACTGCCACATCATTTATGACTTTGCGCACTTTGAAAGGGCCTATGAACTTCCATCCCAATTTCCTGCTAGGCCGCAGCATCTTAATGTTCTTGGTTGAGACATACACAAGATCCCCAGGTTTCAGATCAAATTTTCGCGGCGGATCGGTAGGCCCCTCTGGCGTGCGGCATGCTTGGCACGGTCCTGGCTCTGTCCTTTACGGTTCCGCCCGCCTGCGCCGCCACGCTCACACGTCGTCCTGGCTCCGCCTTCTCCGCTGCCGTCGGGTTCGCCACTGATGTATTCCGGACGCCATTTTTCCGCTCGCTGCTGCCGCCGCCGTTCACCTTCCGCCGAAACCGGCCCTCCAACGACCCCCGGAATGGGGGAGGGTGCCCCCTACCTTCTAAGGTAGGTTTCCAATTTATCTACTCGCGCTTAGTTGGTTAAGGGCGCTTTCGAACCGCTGGGTTGGCGGGAGCTGGGACAAAGGGCCAGGTGCTCAATCTGGCCACGGTGGATATCGAACTGCTACAGCAGTTCGTAGATGTTATTACAGCAGGTGTTTAACCACCTGCGCCACCGCTCCCTCGTGGGATAGAGCAGGTCGAGAAAGGGGTCCTTTTCTCCCTTTCTCACAATACAAGGACTCGTGGGTACTCCATGAAATTGCTGAGCGGTCAGGTTGGAACAGATAAAAGGAAGTCCTTCTTCACCCAAAGAGTGATGAACACATGGAATTCACTGCCACAGGAGGTGGTGGTGGCCACAAGCATGGACGGCTTCCAGAGGGAATTGGATAAACGTATGGAGCAGAGGTCCATCAGTGGGTTGTTAGCCACAAGGTATAGAGAGGGACTCTCGATCTGGGGCAAGTGATGCTCTGTTGATGGGGGGGGGGTTAAGATTGGGAGGGCTTCTAGTGTCCTGGCCCCACTGCTGGACCTCCTGGTGGCACCTGGTATTTCTGGCCACTGTGTGATACAGCGTGTGGGTCCAGATGGGCCATTGGCCTGATGCAACATTGGCTTCTCTTATGTTCTTAAATGCGCTACAGAGAAGACGGGGCCATTCAATGAGGCTTCTGGTCAGAAGCAACGGGGCAACGGATCTGTGGGTGCATGCCAGAGTTTACACCCAGCACTGCCTTTGCGTGGCAAAAATTATGATCCCAGTTCGCAATTTCTCTGCTGCTTTAATTTTTTACAGTCTCGTTTGCTTCTCGTAATCCCTGACTGACTTAAAACTCGGAAAACTCGTTCCGAAAAAAGATGCTCCGGGAAAACCAGCCTGTGACTTTTGTGTGGCGGACTGGGAAGTCTGAGGAGACTCATTCGAAGAATCTTAAATCGAGGCGTGGCAGAAGCTTCAGACAAGAGGCTGCCTCATCCTAAATTGGACACACGGGTCCATCGAGGTCAGGCCTGTCTGCATGGAAGCTCGTACCTTGAATAAAGCTTTGCTGGTCTTAATGGTGCCCCCACTGGACTCTACATTTGTTCTACCCTGGCTGGCAGCAGCTCTCTGGGTCTCAGGCAGAGGCCTTTCGTTTCACCTGCCGCCTGATCCTTTTAACTAGAGATCCCGGGGATCAAACCTGGGACCTTCTGCAAGCCAAGCAGAGGCTCTTCCACTAAGCACAGCCCCTTTACTGCCAACTTCACCTCTTTGACTAGTAAAGCACAAGAAACCCATCAGATAAAGCACAGCACATAGACTTTTGGGGACTCCTGTCCCCCCAAAAAATGAAAATGCAATCGAGCAGGTAGAACAGGTGGCGGCAGCTACAAGCATGGACAGCTTCAGGAGAGAACTGGATAAGCATATGGAGCAGAGGTCCATCAGTGGCTATTAGCCACAAGGTGTAGATAGGAACTCTCGGTCTAGGGCAAGGGATGCTCTGTATTCTTGGTGCTTGGGAGGGGGGAAACAGTGGGAGGGCTTCTAGTGTCCTGACCCCACTGCTGGACCTCCTGACGGCCCCTGGTATTTTTGGCCACTGTGTGACACAGAGTGTTGGACTGGAGGGGCCTTTGGCCTGATCCAACATTGGCTTCTCTTATGTTCTTATAAGAGGGAATTGGATAAACATATGGAGCAGAGGTCCATCAGTGGCTATGAGCCACTAGGTATAGATAGGAACTCTCGGTCTGGGGCAAGTGATGTTCTGTCTTCTTGGTGCTTGGGGAGGGGGCAACAGTGGGAGGGCTTCTAGTGTCCTGGCCCCACTGGTGGACCTCCTGAGGGCCCCTGGTATTTCTGGCCACCGTGTGACACAGAGTGTTGGACTGGATGGGCCATTGGCCTGATCCAACACTGGCTTCTTTGATGTTCTTAAGAATTTCAGAGACAGCTGCAAACGCACATGCTAAGTTTCACAGAGATGACGTCATTCAAGAGATCCACTGTGAACCTCTGCATCCTCCCCCTTCTCCTGTGGATTCTGCAGTCAGGGAAAGGACAGCATTTCACCCGATCGCCTCTCTTCAGTACTCTCCTCTAACGAAACACGAGCTTGTGTGACAGATCACGGCAAAAGCTCTCCCAGGGCTATTTCAGGATGCCTTGGGCAACAGCCCATGAGAAGTAAACATTTGTGGACAAGACGGATTGGCAGCATTTGCTTTGGATTAGTGACAGGCTCTAGAGACCAATCCCACGGGATGTTTGGATGATGTTTAGACAACCACTGTGCCCATGCAGAAACTGGAACTATTTTTGTTCCCCGATGGGTGAAACGTGGCTTGGAAATCTGGAGCACCCTGAAGGTACAGAGCTGCTCACCCTTGTCTGATCACAGCACTGCAGATGTTTGCTGATCTACCAGAATAAATCCAGACAGACCTATCTTGCTAGGAAAGAACTGGGTTTCTCTTCCCAGCTCACTCAGGAAGCTGGCCTTGCTTCTATAATGCTCTTCCCCATGTAGGTAAGGATCTGATTTTTACATGGTCAGAACAAACAGCAAACGTGGCCATCTTGTTCTACCGCCGGCCCCCCTCCCCCAAAATGTTCCCACAATCAGGGGTCATTTCCTACGGGAGCGCACAGGAGCGGCGCTCCGGCAGTAAGGAGCCCAGGGGGCGGGCACATGCAACAAGCCCCACCCCCTGCTCCCAGCAGCCCTCAGTCAGAGCAAGAAGCACCCAGGTAAGCTGCAGAGCCCCCCCCCCGGCCCCCCAGTCCAAAACAGTCCAGTGGCACCTTGAAGACCAAGTTTGATTCAGGTACAAGCTCTCCCTCCTCTGCGAGGGCAGATCTGCACGTCCCCCCCCAATAGCTAGCAATCCAAAACAGTCCAGTGGAGCCTGAGTGGTGGGTGTTGCCTTCTGACACACTTCCGGTGATGTCAGGGGGTGTGGCATATGCAAATGAGTTATGCTAATGAGCTCCTGCACCTCTTTTTCTACGAAATGACCCCTGGTCTGGGGCTATTCGTGTCAGGGCCAGATGAACAGAGGTGGTTGCAAGACCTGAGAATGGCTGCTAACGATAGGACGTTTTGGAGAATCTTCCTTCATAGATCAGAAATGACTTGAAGGCACATAACCAGGACTGTTTTGGATTGCTAGCTATTGAGGGGGGGTACGTGAAGATCTGTCCTCGCAGAGGAGGGAGAGCTTGTACCTGAATAAAACTTGGTCTTAAAGGTGCCACTGGACTGTTTTGGACCGGGGGGGAAGCTCTGCAGCTTATCTGGCTGCTTCTTGCTCTGACTGAGGGCTGCTGGGAGCAGGGGGCGGGGCTTGTTCCATGTGCCCGCCCCCTTGGGCTCTTTACTGCCAGAGCTCCGCTCCTGTGCACTCCTGCAGGAAATGACCCCTGCCGCTACGCCAAACTGGCTTTCGCGAGTCAAAGCTCCCTTTGTCAGAAAAATCTGACGCATCCGGGTATCGGAGGAAGGGGGGCTCTGACGCTCCAAGGCTCACCCACCCCCCAATCTTGTTGGTGTCTCTAAGGGGCTCCTGCACTTGGACCTGCGGAGCTGAGCGTTCCCTTCTGATGCCACACCTGTCTTGTTATCTCAAGTGGCAGCCTTGGTCTCTGAGGAGCGACTGGACTCCACACTGGCGGCTCTACAAGTAAAGCATTGCGAGTGACACGGAACCGAACCTCAGAAGGTCTCCCTGGGGAGAGGAAGAAGAATCCCTCCGGGGAAGTTTCTGCAGCTCCTCCTTCCGGAGGAATCATCATTTCCCTGCAAACCCGTCAAGGAAGCGAACGTCCGCGTTCGGGAGAGGCCACGGCTGACCCGAGAAGCTCCCGCCTCGCAGGAGGGGCCGCTTCTGAGCAAAAACTCACTTCCAGCTTCTTCTCCTTCTCCGTCAGCACGTCCTTCTGGTTCTGCGTGTACTCGATCAACATGCGTGCCAGCTGGCGCCGGTCCTCCAGCTCGGCCGCCAGCCGCCCGTTGTACTCCGCCAACAGCAAACACGCCTCGTCCACAGTCTTCGACAGGCGCTCCGCCGCCTCTTTGTCTGTGTGCAAAGGGGGGAAAGTTAGGTACATCAGCTCCATTCAGACGCCTTCTGATGGTTGGCAGGAGGCCGATCCCCGGCGGCCAGCCCCTCGGCTACGGGAAACCGAACGCACGGTTTGCAAAACAGAGGCCGGGACCAGGCACGCCGCCCACGACTCGTGCGGGTTTTGTTCTGGGGAGTCAAGCCAATCAGGGGGTGATCTGGGAAGCAGGTAGGGACAGACAGCGGGGAAGCCTGCCAAGTCGGAATGCAGAGCTGTTTAGACTGAACAGCCAGGCCCCCCAGCTACTGACCCTGGCTGGCCCTTTGCGTCAGGTGACCACCACTGAACTGTTCGCTGCAATACCCCCCCCCGGTCATCTCCTTTCATCCCAGTGGCTAAATAAGCAAGTCCTGCTATTAGAAACTGTAATGTATAACTGCTGGCGCCAGCCCGGCCTGAGGTTTTTCTCCGTTTCAGCAACTCTAGCAGTGTGCGTCTTTGTCTCCACGCAATGCCACCAGTGTTCCCTCTAAGCTGAGTTAAGTGTCAGCCAGTTCACAGCTTTTTTAGCCTCCAGCTCACACATTTTTTCCTTCGCTCAGGAAGGATGGCTCCAGAGCCAGTTTGGTGTCGTGGTTAAGTGAGCAGACTCTGGGAGAACCGGGTTTGATTCCCCACGCCTCCACTTGCACCTGCTGATGTGACCTTGGGTCAGTCACAAGCTCTGGCACAGCTGTTCCTGAAAGAGCAGTTTGTGTCAGAGTTCTCTCAGCCCCACCCACCTCACAGGGGGTCTGTTGTGGGGAGGGAAGGGAAAGGAGTTTGTAAGCCGCTCTGAGACTCCAAGTGAAGGGTGGGGTATAAATCAAATCTCTTCTTCTTCTTCAGAGCAAATCCAAGTCTTACAAGGAAAGGCTGAAAGAGTTGGGTATGTTTAGCCTGGGAAAGAGAAGTCTTAGAGGGAACATGATTGCAGTCTTCCAGTATTTGAAGAGCTATCATGTAGAAGATGGAGCAGATCTAGTTTCTCTTGCTCCGGATTGCAAGACTAGATCTAATGGGTGGGAATTACAAGGGAGTCGTTACCGGCTAAATATCAGGAGAAACTTCCTAACTGTAAGAGTGGTTGAGCAGTGAAACAGTCTGCCTCGGGAAATGGTGGAAACTCCTTCGCTGGACGTTTTCAAGCGGAGGCTGGACGACCATCTTTCAGGTATGTTGTAGGTATGTAGGGCTCTCTTTCGGCTATGCTCCTGCAGAGTGCAGGGGGTTGGACTAGATGACTTGCAAGGTCTCTTCCAACTCTTAACATTCTATGATTCTATAATACCAGAACCCGGAGCCATCCCCTGAAGCTGAAGGGTGAGAGATTCAGGACAGACAAGAGGGAGCGTTTCTTCGGGCAGTGGACAGTTAATCTGTGGAACTTGCTGCCACGGGATGTAGTCATGGCCAATGTTCCCTCTAAGCTGTGGAGTCTTGTGAGCAAAAATTCCACTTTGTGAGCTACTGGCATTAAAGATGTGAGTGAGCAATTTGGGTACTCCATCAATTAGTTTGCTTTGGCCATCCTTCCCGAGCTAGGACAAAAATCTGTGAGCTGGATGCTAAAAAACTGTGACCTAGCTCACACTAACTCAGCTTAGAGGGAGCACTGGTCATGGCCATAAACCTGTAAGGCTTCGAAAGGGGAGTGGAGAAATTCAGAGGGCGGGGCTGTCAGTGGCTTCTCGCCATGATGGAGATCTACTCCCCTCAGGGTCAGAGGCAGTCTGCCCTCGTTGCACCAGCTGCTCTGGGGAGCACGGGGGGGTGGGGGGGGCTGTTGAGGTCCTCCAGCTAGGGGGCTTCCCGGAGGCAGCTGGTTGGCCCCACTGTGTAAGTCAGAATGCTGGGCTTGATGGGCCTCGGGTCTGATCTAGCAGGGCTCAACTTCAGTTCTTATGGGACAGAATCACAGAATGTTAAGAGTTGGAAGGGACCTTCCCGGTCATCTAGTCCAACCCCTTGCACTCCTCCAGGGAAGGCCAGGGTTGCTGTGCAGAGGCAGGCAATGGCAAACCACTGGCAATGGCAAACGTCTCTCGCCTTGGAAATCTTGCGGGGCCACCATAAACTGGCTGCGACTTTGACAGTCAGAGCTGTGCCCCAGTGGAATCGGCTGCCTGGGGAGGTGGTGGGCTCCCCCTCCCTGGCATTCCTTAAGCAGCGGCTGGACAGACACTTGTCAGGGATGCTCTGGGCTGATCCTGCATTGAGCAGGGGGCTGGACTAGATGGCCTCTGTGGCCCCTTCCAAGTTTGGGATTCTAGGACACCCCAGTAACTTCAAGCAATTAGCTTTACTAAAGGATTCAAGTATCGCCTTTCTCTGGAGAAGCACTATGTAAACAGACTTTTAAAAGAAGTGTCGCGGTAGAATCATGATGGTGGCACTACAACAGCGGGGGCGCGGGGGGTTCCCAAGCCCGTGGGGGCACTCCTGCCCTGAGCCGAGAGGAAGGGGAGGCATAAATATTTTAATAACCGAATGCCGGATAGCCTCAAGCTCAGACTCTCCCTCTCCATCCGTGCCAGCTGCACGCAGACAGCCCTTTCCTCCCCTAGGAGGCACCAACTCAACAAAGCTTGGGCAGACTCGATAGAATGTGATGGTGAAAGGTGGGAACGAATGGCTAGAAGGAACAGAAGTTGGCCACTGCCTCCTGGGTTTCGGATTTTAAAGCCCCAGAGGGCAGAGCCAGAAGGAAGGCTGCTGCAGGAAGAGACCCTCATCCTGAGGGAAGGGTGAGTAGTCTAGTGCCACTTGGGATAGTGAGCTAGGGACAGTATCTATTTAGACGTGTTAGGGCATTTGATTTCTTTTCTTTTCACCCACTTACTGTTATTATTCTGTACCTTGTTTGTTTGACCGCCTTTACAATAAACTATTTTCATTGTTCACTCTGCCTGGTCCTCACGCCTAGTATTCGGCCAAAAGGGAGGTCTAAAGGCCTGGGAAGGTGCTCAGGGCCTTCTCAGAGGAGCCTGGAACTAGAGTGGAGGAAGCAGCAGGTGACACCCCACTTGAGCCGTGACAGCCATCTTGTGTGTTGTATCACCCCACATTTGTTTAGGTCTTAATATTGTTAATTGTTTTAAATTGTTCTATTTATCGCTGTGATTTGCTCTGAGCTCTGCAGTGCAGAGGGAAGGTGGGCAACCCAATTAAGCAAATAAATAAATAAATAAATGGGGGGAGTGCCCGGGGGGGGGGGGAGAGAGTTAACCCACAGAGGCGGCAATCCATTTCCATGAAGAGGAGGAGATTGGGTTTATCCCCCGCCCTTCACTACCCAAAGGTGTCTCAGAGCGGCTTACAAACTCCTTTCCCTTCCCCTCCCCACAACAGACAAACACCCTGTGAGGTGGGTGGGGCTGAGAGAACTCTTGACAGAAATGGCTCTTTTTCGAGGACAGCTCTTATCAGAACTACGGCTTGCCCAAGGTCACCCAGCCAGGTGCAAGTGGAGGAGTGGGGAATCAAACCCAGTTCTCCCAGATTAGAGTCTGTGCACTTAACCACTACACCAAACTGGCGCCTTAAGTGTCACCGCCACATCCACAACAGGGTCTCCAAGGACAACGGCAGGGACGCTCTGGGCTGGGGTGCCAGGCGGCACCGAAGCCATGTCACGGCCTGGGTGAAAGAGAAACCCCAAGGGGAGGAGAAAGGCTGACTCATCTTGAATCGCCTGGAAAGGGGGGTGGACCTTAAAGCCAGAGCTGATTAAGCCAAACAAATTCCACGAACTGGGGGTGGCTCACATCACCCATCGCTGCTGCTTCCGATTCTCACCTGTAATCTTCTCCAACAGGGACACATCCTGAACCTCTTGGGGAAGTGAGGCAATCTTCTGCCGCACCGTGGCATCTCCTGATGCTGCGTTTTCCAGATCCTGCAGGGCTTTGATCAAGTCCTCAGTCTGCACAGCAGAGACACAAAAGACGGCAATGATCAGCTGCCTCCGAGTCGAAGAACCACCACAACCCTTCCTATGCCTATAACTGTCCGAACCTCATTTCTGATACTCAGTTCTGAAAGTCCTGCCCAAGATGCTCTCCACCTTTGCTTCTCGAGACATGAAAAGCCTGTACCAATGCTGAAGGCACCTCTTTCCCAGAGAAGTCACCACCGCTAGAGGGATTCACACATGGAATTCACTGCCACAGAAGGTGGTGGCGGCTACAAGCATGGACGGCTTCAAGAGGGAATTGGATAAGCATCTGGAGCAGAGGTCCATCAGTGGCTATTAGCCACAAGATAGAGATAGGAACTCTCAGGCTGGGGTGAGTGATGCTCTGTCTTCTTGGTGCCTGGGGTGGGGGGCAACAGTGGGAGGGCTTCTGGTGTCCTGGCCCCACTGCTGGACCTCCTGAGGGCGCCACTGTGTGACAGTGTTGGACTGGATGGGCCATTGGCCTGATCCAACATTGGTGTCTCTTATGTTCTTGTAAGAGGGAACTGGATAAAAATACTGAGCAGAGTTCCATCAGTAGCTCTTAGCCACAAGGTATAGATAGGAACTCTCAGGCTATGTGATGCTCTGTATTCATGGTGCTTAGGGGGGGCAACAGTGGGAGGGCTTCTGGAGTCCTGGCCCTACTGCTGGACCTCCTGATGGCACCTGGTATTTTTGGCCACTGTGTGACACAGAGTGTTGGACTGGATGGGCCACTGGCCTGATCCAACACTGGCTTCTCTTATGTTCTTATAAAAGGGAATTGGATAAACATATGGAGCAGAGGTCCATCAGTGGCTCTTAGCCACAAGGTATAGATAGGGACTCTCAGTCTGGGGCAAGGGATGCTCTATATTCTTGGTGCTTGGGGGGGCAACAGTGGGAGGGCTTCTAATGTCCTGGCCCCACTGGTGGGACCTCCTGATGGCACTGGTATTTTTGGCCACTGTGTGACACAGAGTGTTGGACTGGATGGGCCATTGGCCTGATCCAACACTGGCTTCTCTGATGTTCTTGTGTTCACTCTCAGAGATTTACAACATGCAGCTGAGAGCTTCAGAAGTTAGCTGTGGTTGTCTGCACAGATTCTGATGGGTACCTCCCCCCTCCAGTACCACAGGGAGTGTTCCTTTTTAGAGCAGTTGCTGGGAAGCACAGGCAGGATGAAGCTGTTGCCGTCTTCCTTGTTCGTGGCCTTCAGAGGCAGCTGGTTGGCCATGTGGACAGAAAGCTGAACTAGAGAAACCTTCAGTCTGATCCGGCGAGGCTCTACTGAACTTCTCAGATTCGAGATTTTCCAGGTATGAGCTTTCGAGAGTCAGATTTGATGACGGGAGCTGTGACTCTCAGAAGCTCATCCCCCCAAAAATCTGGTTGGTCTCGAAGGTTCTCCTGCACTTGCATCCGCAGAGCTGAGAGTTCCCTTTTGGTATCACACCTGCCTGCCCGCCTGCCACTTAAAACTCTTGTATGTCACCCTGAGCCCTGTTTTTCAGGGGAGGGTGGCCTAAAAGCCGAAAATCCTCCTCCTCCTCCTATTTCATTGTTTATTGAATGCCCCGTCATGTGGATTGTCTCGACTTGCTCTGTATAATCTGCCTTCAGTCCCAGTGAGAAAGGCAGACTATGACGCTGATGGGCAGGGGGCTCAGGACGGGCAAAAAGATATACTTCTTTACACAGAGAGTGACTAAAATGTGGACTTCGCCGCCAGAGGATGTAGTGATGGCCCCAGGAATATTTATTTATATATTCACTGCACTTCTATTCCACCCCATCCCATGACGGGTCAAACAGCTTTAAAAGGGGATTAGATAGATTCATGGAGGATCAGTCCATCAGTGGCTACTAGCCCTGGTGACTGAGGGGAACCTCCACATCCAGAGGCACTAAGCCCCTGAATCCCAGAGCCAGGAGGCAACATCAGGAGAAGACCTTGGACTTCCAGAGGAACTGGCTGGCCACTGTGTGAGACAGGAGGCTGGACTAGATGAACAACTGGTCTGATCCAGCAGGGCTCTTCTGATGTTCTTATCATGGGAAGGCCTCGGCCTGTGTGCCCTGTTGTTGCTGGCCCTCCAGAGGAACCGGTTGGCCCCTGTGTGAGGCAGGAGGATGCTGGACTAGATGGACCCTCCCGGGTCTGACCCAGCAGGGCTCTTCTGATGTTCTTATCAGGGGAAGGCCTCAGCCTCACTGCCCTGCTGTTGGCCCTCCATAGGAACTGGTTGGCCATTGCGTGAGACAGGATGCTGGACTAGATGGACCACTGGGCTGATACAGCAGGGCTCTTCTGATGTACTTATCGGGGAAGGCCTCGGCCTCTCTGCCCTGCTGTTGGCCCTCCATAGGAACTGGTTGGCCCCTGTGTGAGACAGGAGACTAGACTAGATGGACCGCTGCTCTGATCCGACAGGGCTCTTTTGATGTACTTATCGGTGAAGGCCCCGGCCTCTCTGCCCTGCTGTTGGCACTCCAGAGGAACTGGCTGGCCCCTGTGTGAGGCTGGATGCTGGACTGCATGGACCCTCACTGGTCTGACCCAGCAGGGCTCTTCTGATGTTCTTATCAAGGCCTCGACCTTTATGCTGTTGTCGGCAATCCAGAGGAACTGGTTGGCCACTGCGTGAGACAGGATGCTAGACTAGATGGACCACTGGGCTGATCCAGCAAGGCTCTTCTGATGTACTTATCGGGGAAGGCCTTGGCCTCTAAGCCCTGTTGTTGGCCCTCCAGAGGAACTGGTTGGCCACTGTGTGAGGCAGGATGCTGGACTAGATGGACCCTCGCTGGTCTGATCCAGCAGGGCTCTTCTGAGGTTCCTATCAGGGGAAGGTCTCGGCCTCTCTGCCCTGTTGTTGGCCCTCCAGAGAAACTGGCTGGCCCCTGTGTGAGACAGGATGCTGGACTAGATGGACCACAGGGCTGATCCAGCAGGATTCTTCTTAATGTTCTTATGACTATAAATACTGCAAACAGATTTTTAAAAGTCAGTTAAGGGATGGGGTCCAGAGCAGTGTTCCCTCTAAGCTGAGTTAGTGTGAGCTAGCTCAGTTTTTTAGCCTCCAGCTTACAGATTTTTGTCTTCGCTCAGGACGAATGGCTCCAGGGCAAACTAAATTTATGCAGCGGCCAAATAGCTCGCTTACAACTTTAATGCCAGTAGCTCACAAAGTAGAATTTTTATGTAAAGGGCTGGGGAAAAAATGGAAAAATTCGGGGTGGGGGGACGTCCCCCCCCCGTTTTTTTCCTGAACCCTTTTTTGTTTTTTTCCAAAAAAATGGAAACATTGAAAACAGAAAAGAAATTGATTATGGAACGTTTTATTTTAACATGATTAATAAAATATTTTAAGACAAGGTGTTCAAATATTTTCCAAATCAATTCTAAAAAATATGTATGGTATCAGATTGATCTAATTTCTGTGCACTGAGGACAAGCAAGTCCTAGGTTACAAACTGAACTCTCCAATGCAAGAACAAGATGCATTTCTTTCTTTAGGAGGTGCTATTGTCAGAAGAAAATAAAAAGGTTTCAGGTTTGTTTTTGCATGTGGATGGGTATTCTGTTTGTAATAATTGTTTGGATACACTATATTTTTAATATGCTAGTTGTGATAATTTCATGCCAAGTAAAAATGTCCATAGTCATATTTTATGTTCCTAAAGTAACAGAATGACTTTCAATCTAGAAAAGACAAAAGAAATGCTAATGTAGCATTTTTTTCAATTTTTCCAAAAATTTCCGTTTCCCCCCGAAAAAAAACGGAAAAAAACCCCGGTTTTTTTCGCGAGCTTCAAAATTTCCGGAAATTTTACATCTCTAATCCTCCCCACCGTCTACCCGGTCTCACAGAGCAATTCACACTTCTGCTTGCCGAACTCGCTAAGAGGTCTTTAATGTTAGGGAAGTAAGAGTCCCTTTGACCAACTCGTTAATCGACACTCTGCAGGCGCTGGCCAAACACTCCCATTGTAACAACAACAAGCGGCTCACGCAGACCCCTGCGACTGAGCAGGTTCTCTGGAGGACGCTGCAGATCAAGGGAGAGGGGAACACAGCATGGCCATTGTCAGTTTTCAGGCAGCAATTTGAACTACACAGAAGAGTGGAAGAGGGGAAAAATGAAGAGACGGGAACCAAAGAGATCAGTTACTGCGGGAGTGGTCTAGTTGCTGCAGTATTTCAAAGGCGTCGGTGAGTGAAATTATTTCATAAGAATTTCTTTGTGCCACCTTTGCCCACGGGGCACCCAGCCCCGGAAGCAGCTTCCAAGAACAGAGAAAGTCCCCCTCCCCCTCCCAAATCCTAATTCTGCAGTTATAACAATAGCTGAAATCCTTCACTGGAAAAAAGTAGAGCCCCCTTCAGTTTCACGCGTTTTCAGGCGGAGGCTGGACGACCATCTCTCGGGTGTGTTGTAGGGCTATCTTTTGGCTCTGCTCCTGCAGAGTGAACAGACCTGAGGGTGGTTGTCCATGATAGGATGTTTCCAAGGTCATTCATTCATAGGAGTCACCATAAATCGGAAGCAACCTGACAGCACTTAACACACACGCACAGCCAATGTTTTAATTGCTGGTTTTTTTTAATGTTTTGTACGTGTTCCGTTTTTAACTGTTTTAATGATGTGTGTTTTGGGGAGTGCTGATTTTAACCATTTTAGAATGTGATTTTATCATGCTTTAAAAAAAAATTATTTATTAATCGCATTTATACCCCCCGCCCTCCCCACAATGCAGGCTTAAAATTGTTAGCTGCTTTTGTGGCCCGTTGTAAGGTGGGATGCAAATTTTGTAGATAATAACAATACTATGAAGACAACATTAAGATGGTCTCAGGCAGGGGTGTCGAACTCATTTGTTATGAGGGCCAGATCTGACATAAATGAGACCTTGTCGGGCCGGGCCACGTGTGTCATAAAATGTAATGCCAGGTAGCAGAGATATAAACTTTATAAAGGACACAAACATAAAGGGTATTTTTTTAACTTAAGCTTCGTGAATTGCAAGCCTACTTTTGATTTACTGACATTCAACACAGAAATCTCATGCTCAGAGTTCTGACTCTAGGACCTCGGTTAAAGCATGAAATGGCTGAGTGATTGAGAGAGTCTGGTGAAAGCAAGCTACGATGCAGCAGCAGCAGCAGAACTGGAGGCAGGAGATGGCTAGCTCCACTGCGGGCCTGATGGAAGCCCTCCAGGGGGCTGATATAGCCCCGGGCCACATGTTTGACACCCCTGGTCTAGGGGTCCAAGACACCCCTCTGCATACGTAGATAGGTTTAATGAAAGGTGGATAATACTCTATGTTCTGGCACGGCAGGTACAGGATGGAACTTATCTTGACGCATTATGAGAAATGACCTCCTTTTCCCTGTAGTTTCTCTGGCATTCTAATTTATGTACTGCATTGTGATATAGCTTTATTCTGGTAGAAATAAAAAACCAAAACCCTGACATCTCTGGAGGTTAAGGCCACAAGAACAATTTAACGCACAAGTCCATTTCCATCCACCAATGAACACCCAAAAGGACATCCTAGAGGTACAAAAGGTGCCAAAGAGAACAGAAAAGGGATCAGATGGTTACAGAATTTCCCTCTGAAGAAAAGGCTAAAGAGGTCGTGGGTTTCCTGTTGAAAAAGAAGACACAACGCAGAGGTGGAGGCATATCCTGATAGGTTCACAGTTCTGCCTGGCGTGGCAGGAAAATCTTCTCCCTTTCCCTTAATGAGTCAGCCAATGAAACCACTGGCTAAAGCTGCAGAACAGGACTTCTTGACACACACTATTCAATACCGAATTAATTTACAGAATCCGCTGCTACGGCACAGCTCTAAAAGGAGCCTGGACACATTAACAGAGCAGAAACCGATCAATGGCCACTGGCCACAATGGCTTAAACCACCTTTGCTTTCAGAAGCAGTGTCTCCCTCAATACCAGCAGTTGGAAGACAATAATGGGGGACCGGGGGTGTGTGTGTGTTCCTGTGTCATCTGTTTGGCCCCTGGCAGTACAGGAGTCTGGGTGAGATGGATTCTTGCCCAGCTTAGCGTATTTAATTAGGGAAAAGTAAAAATGTTTATATACTTCTGATACAGGCAGGAGTAGACACCCATCACGGCTAGTTGTCACTGACAGCCCTGTCCTCCATTAATTCTTCCACTCCCTTTTACAGCCTTCCAAGATGGCGGCCATCACCACATCCTGGAGCTGGCAACCCTAATCAGGACAGGCCCCAATGAGGTCCCCACAAAGGCCTGGAAAGGGCTTCATTCCTTTGTCTTTTTACTGATGGAACCAAGCTTGGTTGCCTAGCAACAGCCACTGAGGGAAAAGTTAGTCCCGCAGGAGCCAAGCAGAAGAGTCTTCGTCAGGAGAGACAACCATTTGGCAGTTATTCTGACCGGGAACAGGGGCTGAGGTGGCAGTGGGCGGGGAAGAGGAGCAGACCCAGCACCCAGCCAATGGCATGCAATTACTCTTGAGTGGCGGTTGATGGGCCAATGGCTGATGGAGCACACACCACTTAACTATGTGCGATGTGAAATACTATTTCCTTGCATCTCTACTAGCCACAGGCCCTGTACGAACTTTCCTCGAGAACGGAAGAGGCACCAAGCTCCACCACCTCTGTTTAGTGTAACCAAAGCTTGCAGAGACATTCTGAACTGACACCTTATTTATTTATTAATTCAATGTATACCCCGCCCTCCCCGCGAACGGGCTCAGGGAGGCTGATCAACTGACCACCTGACGAACTAACCAAGCTCTCAACTCCAGCAACATGATGCCCTTCTGTCCTTTAAACAGGCATGTAAGACCACACAATGCCGCAGAAGTCATGACAAGTACCACACCTGCCAGAACTGTCCACAGCTGTGAGAGACGGCAAGATCCAGCGCCTCGGTACTCGCCACTCAGCAGTTTGAGGCTATGTGGCATTCTCACAAGGGGCTTTTTGCTCCCGCTTTTACAAAAGCCACTGGACAATCCCTTCACCAGGGGGTCTCCAACTTTTACGAAGTCTGGGGGCACCTTTTGAATCCTGACACAGTATGGTGGACATGGCCGTAAAACGGCTGCCAGAGGCTTACTTTCGGCCACACAGTGAAGACCTACGTGCTGTGGTGGCAGCTGCTACCATAGCAACGTTTTTAAAATGTGCACGACCAATCAAACTTCCCGTGGCCCATGAGAGTAACTGCTGAACAGGAAAACCACCTGGCCCCACCCATTTCACAAAAGCATTTGGTGGGCGCTGGGAAAGGTGTTGGCGGGCACCACGCCAGGAACCCCTGCCCTACACAGGGCCGTCACTATTTCCGGGGCACGCTCCATCACACGTGGAGCTGTCAGTCACACTGGCTGTGTAGTCCAGATACCGGGGCTTCTGCTCAGCCAAAATTCAAATCTTTACGCCAATCCTTATTATAGCATTGGAAACAGTGCTGAAAAGGGCAACTCGAATGATAAAAGGGTTGGAACACTTTCCCTATGAGGAAAGTTTAAAGCGCTCGGGGCTCTTTAGCTTGGAGAAATGACGACTGAGGGGAGACATGATCGAGGCTTATAAGATTATGCATGAGAAAGAGCAGGTAGAGAAAGAGGTACTTTTCTCCCTTTCCCACAATACAAGAACTCCTTGTGGGCACTCCATGAAATTGCTGAGCGGTCGGGTTAGAATGGATAAAAGGAAGTACTTCTTCACCCAAAGAGTGATGAACACATGGAATTCACTGCCACAGGAAGTGGTGGCGGCTACAAGCATGGACGGCTTCAAAAGGGAATTAGATAAGCATATGGAGCAGAGGTCCATCAGTGGCTATTAGCCACAAGGTATAGATAGGACTCACAGGCTGGGGCAAGGGATGCTCTGTCTTCTTGGTGCTTGTGGGGGGGCAACAGTGGGAGGGCTTCTAGTGTCCTGGCCCCACTGGTGGACCTCCTGATGGCACCTGGTATTTCTGGCCACTGTGTGACACAGAGTGTTGGACTGGAGGGGCCATTGGCCTGATCCAACATCGGTTTCTCTCATGTTCTTATAAGAGGGAATTGGATAAACATATGGTGCAGAGGTCCATCAGTGGCTATTAGCCACAAGGCATAGAGAGGAACTCACAGGCTGGGGCAAGTGATGCTCTGTAATTCTTGGTGTTTGGGGGGGGGCAACAGTGGGAAGGCTTATGGTGTTCTGGCCCCAATGGTGGACCTCCTGATGGCACCTGATATTTTTGACCACTGTGTGACACAGAAGAGTGTTGGACTGGATGGGCCACTGTCCTGATCCAACATTGGCTTCTCTTATGTTCTTATAAGAAGTCACCCTTCAACCAGGCTGCTTTATGAAAGATCTTGTCTTCTGGCCCAAAGAACACGCATCAAATCACTTGGCAAGGCACAAACTGAAAGTAAATAAACTTCCTGAACTTGTCTATTAGTTACAGGAATGCAGCGGTAGCATGCTGGGTGGAATACACACTCCTGCAGTTTTACTTAATTTGGACATGGTTATTTTAGGGAATAAAATTTGGGGGCTTTGTTGCTTTTTTTACCATGTTTCTGGTTCTTCTCCAGTTTAAGGAGTTAAATGACGACATCAGTGCAGTATTGCACTTGGTCAATGGCTCCACCTGGTGGCCACATCTTTGCAAGAGCGCGCTCTTGTGGGTCTCCCATCCTTTCCCTTCCAGACGTACCAGAAGGGGCCCGGCGTTGGCATCCTGCGGAGAGTAGCTCCCTGGGTAATCGTCATCTTCCTCCTCTTGTATCTGCTGAAACGTCCGCTTCAAGGACTTCTTCTCCTCTGTAACTGAGAAGAGACACACAGAGAGATCTATTCAGACCGAGACGGGTGACATTTTTCTATAGCACCTTTTGTATGACATAAGGAGTGTCAGGCACTGCTCCACCTTGTTCCTTTTTAAAATCAACCCTTCAAAGCCACCTCGAGGTGCCTGAATCAGGCAGAGATACAAACCTCCCTCTGAACGCTTTGAAAAGGAACGGAAGATTTGTATTCACTTACCGTGAAGCTTCCTTCTCGGTGGTCCAGAGTGGGGCAGTCCTTGACTCCTTACTCCTGGGAAAGCACCTCCCCCTTCCATAGGCAGGGCCGGCAAACTTTGATCCCAGAGGGGAGGGGCTTATCCTCTGATCCCCAGTCATACCGAAAGCCACCTCCGAGCTGCTGTAAATACACTTAAAAAATAACTCCTTCCCCCTCAGACAACCAGGGAATACCATCACAGCCACGGGCTTAAACAAATACAAACCAGTATTTTAACCATTAGAGAAAAGAAACAGCAACAGTCCGCCACATCACGTAATCATTTAGACCATATTCACGAACAGCTGAACAACTGCAAAACATAAATGGACCGGAAGTCGTGTCCAACAAGAGAGGGTGGGTAGGACTGCCCCACTCTGGACCACCGAGAAGGAAGCTTCACGGTAAGTGAATACAAATCTTCCATTCTCCGGTGGTCCAGGAGTGGGGCAGTCCTTGACTCCTTACTCCTGGGACGTAAAAAAGCAGCGCTCCCCCCGGGTGGGTCACACAACTTCCGGTGCCTACAGGGCCTGAAGGAGCCCTCTACTGTCAAATACTGCTTTTGCCAAGGCTAGTTTGTTAATCCTATAGTACTTTGTAAAGGAATGGACAAATCTCCGTGTCACCACCTTACAAGTGACTTCTAGGGGTGGCAAGGCCCTATATGCCACCAATGTGACTGCCCCCCATAGAGTGCCCTGTGACCCCTACTGGAGGTACTAACCCCTA